AAAATATACGTATATTATAGTCAATACTTCTATATTATTTACCTATATTGTGTATTTGATATCTGACTAAATTTGAATTCTTAATTTATGTACTTTTTTATATGTATTGAAGTTTCATTAAATTATAATTGTCATATTTCAAAATTTGTTTTTAGGATAATACCCTGTCATGATTTTTCCCTTTTTAAGCTCTTAAACTAAAAACTTTATTAAGAATGAACAAATCTCAGTTATCTCATTACAAATCATATTTATTTCACTTCATTCATACATCATCAGTACATGGTATAGTTGATTATAGTACTCTAATTAATAGCATAAACTTGCATTAACTTAATTAGTAAGATCAGTTTCATTACGTGATAAATTATATTACTACTGCAACTAGCAAATGTTCGTGCATAAGTGAATGTGGCACTAAAAAATAAAAATACCGTTTGGTTATCGAGGAAATAATACTGGTACTAATTTATACCCTCTTTTGGTTGACATCATCATTTCTGGTATATAGAATTACTAATATTTATGAATTTTTATATCGTAATATCGATATAATTTTTTAATTTTTACTGTGTAATAATTTATACAAAGATAAAACACTTGAGCAAAATAACTTGGATTTCGATAGTCTCTGTTTATTACCTTAAAATATAAGATCACAGTCCATAATTCTCACACTATAATTTTCGCGTAATTTGTCTGCGAACGAAACGTTTTTTTAATTGTTTTAGTAGATTTTATTTATATGCATGTATGAGGAGAGAAGGAACTTATATTATATTTCTTATCATTAAAACGTGCAGAGCAGAACAAATTGTCAAACTCTAATATTAGTGGCAGTAAGGCAATTTATGCCCTAGTACCTATTGAATTATATGTTATTTTCTAATTTTTAGTGTACTGATTCAAATTTCTTCCTTATCTTTTATCTTATTTTAATGGTAGAATGGAATTCATATTAATAGAGAAATGTTCCTTCTAAATTAATCCTTTTTCTAGTAGGAAAAGATTTAGAACTCTATAAATAGAGAAATGTTCCTTCTAACTTAATCAACATTCACAATGTAGTCTTAAGGGCTTTGAGAGTTTTGATTAAGGGGAGAATTTGTGGGTCACAAGCTTGATACGTTATCACTTGCGTGAACCTCCCATGTATTCTGAGTGAATTGTTTGAGGTTGTTTTCCTCTGTATTTTGTACTCTCATATTTATAGTGAATTGTTCATCTCTTTGTGGACGTACGTCGATTGACCGAACCACATTAAATTTTTGTGTCTTTTGGTATATTTCTCGTTGTCTTCTTACTCGTGGCCTTTCGAGATTCGCTTTGCTAGCTTCCGCGTTTACATCTACTTATTTTCGGTCCTAACAAGTGATATTAGAATTAGATTCAACACTTCTCTCGATCGATCTCTATTTTTTTCTCCTTTATTCGTTGGCTTTTTTGATTATTGGTAAATTAAGTGTTGGACTAAAATAATTATTAAATGTTTTGAATATGGTGTGCTATCGTTCTCTTTGAATCAAATTTATCCGTTTTTTATAATATTTCAAACCATTAAGAGTACTCTATTATTTTATGAGTAATTTTTTTTCTTCTCTACTTTCTACACAAGACTTTGTTCACACATACTCAATAATCTCCAAGACTCGTGGATCATGTGCAAAGGCATTAAGCTGAGTCCTACACCATCAATCCCCCATTTGCATATTTGTTAGTCGAATTATTGACTTTGATATCAATTGTTGAGCTAATACAATCAAAGATACTCTTAAAGGCAAAATTACACATTTAGCAGATCAGCAAAATTAATCACCTCATTTATTTTCATTAAGATTAAGACGATTAAAGTTGAATGTATGCCTAAAAGATTAAGATGTTGGCTCTAGATCTAAACACTGAATGATTAAAATTATTTTTTAACATCTGAACATATATAATTCGTCATTGTATAAGCATAATAAACATATAATTCATTACCCACTTGAAAGAGACAAAACAGACTCTGATAATAGAGAGATGGGGGAGCGAGGGCCAAGCATATATAGAAAGAAAAAAGTGATGATGTTTAAGCTTACGAAGAAATATATTAGCATTATAAAAAGTGTCTACATAGAAATAAGACACTCATTATCTGACTAAACAAAGTACAAATTAGAGTTATATGGTGATTAATCAAGTATAATTCTGTATATATTCTTTATACTATAATTTACTAATTTACTGATCAAGTTTGATCATATGAAGTCTAGGACACTTAACGTGTTGAATAATTATGTTAATATAAGATCTGACAATCGACCAAGTTTTCCAAATTACTCTATTTTATGTATCCAATCATCACGATTGAGTCGGATAATATATAAAACAACAAAATTAATTTTCTACTCCTGTCATTACCAATAACATTTAATATATTATAGTGTGAAAATGCTTCATATATGAACACTACATATATTTAAAGATTGCAAAATTTTGCATTAGATTGGTTTTGACTTTTGACTTAGTATAATGTAAGACAAGATTGGGAGGAAAATAACCATAACACAATGACCACATATTACCCACAATACCCAATTCTAATAAAATTCTACAGTGATCATATATCTTATGTTGATAACAAGACCTTATTATAGTCTCATATTGATGGCAGATTAGGGGTTTGAATAATTTATCTTAAAGTTTTTCTCAACTTTATTTAATTTGTGAGGTGATTTATTTGGGTCAAGATCGATATTTTCAGGGTCACATCTTGTCTTAATTCAAAGGAGATTGATTGAGATGGAGAGTTCTGACCATCAAGAATTCACGCAATGATTTTTATAATATCTCAAAAGAACAATAAGTGAACACTAATTAAATTCTATCTCCAAAGTAATTATTTTATCTAATTAAACATACAAATTACACTTAATACCTATTTGTATTTATACTCAACGAATTAAAGATTTCAAAACTAGCACCCAACTAGTCAAAAGTCAAACCACGAGAACTATGTGAGCAAATTTTTATTTGTATGGAATACCATTTTCAAGATTACCCATGGGATCCACAGGCAACTTTTTTGCTTCCATAATTGTGGATCAAAATGCATAGAGCTTGATGCACAATTGCACATGTTCATAGTTCTATTATTTCCGAATTATGGTCTCTTTAAACGGAATTCCTTTTCGAGACAACATAACCTAATAAATGGAATTTTTTATCAAACTAAATCATTATATAAAGTAATTTATCAAAATAATATATTTTAAATTTTTTACAAAATTAGTATAAACGTTTTTTACAGTAACGTTTTATGATATATTTCATTTTTTAAAAACTGATGGATTAGGTTGATATACGTTACTGTGAGTAACGTTTACTCCTAAAACATTACTGTAACGTTTTAGATATAAAACATTACTTTCAATAATGTTTAACGTTTTAGTAGTAAAACGCTACTATGAGTAACGTATATCAACCTAACGCCGTCAGCTTTTAAAAAATGAAATATACCCTAAAACGTTACTGTGAAATACGTTTATATTAGTTTTGTAAAATTTTTAAAAACGTATTATTTTAATAAATTATTTTATATAATGACTTAATTTGATGAAAACCTCCTAATAAATGGGATAAAATTTACAAATACTCACTTTTTTTAGCTTTCATATTGTAATTGCAAAATAGACATGATTATGAAATTTTAGTTTCGATAAGTGAAACTCCAATATAATCACGGAGTGTCACTTGTGGAAGTAAAAATTACTTCAGGATAACAACTATTTTTCAAAGATAAGACAAAAAGTGAGCAATTGACGCTATTTTGACAATCTAATAGTACTGATTATGTAACCTCTTCAGATCGTGGACGCAAAATCTTCAAATCTCTTATTTTGTTCAATTTGCTTTTGCTTAGATTGGAACCTGATCTTAGCTATGCTCTAGCTAAGTAAATTTTTCCTTTTTTGGTCAACGTAGGTACAGAGATTCAGCAATCAATTTGACTGCTTTTTAACACCTGAGAGTAGTTGCATCATGCATGATTTCAGTAGTAATGTAGTTGAATAATTAGATAAGTATATTTTAAGTTTTGTATACTAGTAGCGTAAACACTTTTCACACCGTTCTGTTAAATGCAACTACAATAATAGGTAACGCCTTATAATATGCATGATGTAGTAATCTGAAAAATTAGATTTATATAACAATCTGATATAATCGAGTCAATTAAATTGAAGATATAACCTTTTTCTATAAAGCCATGCGATATAGCTTAAATCTGATTATTATTATTAAACATATTCACACAAAGCTTACACACTGAGTACTTTCATCCTTTACTAGAAAGTTTTAGATTTGAGCTCTATGTGAATGGAGTAACTGTTTTTGGTAAGGAATGGTTTATCCAATTAATATATCGGCCCCGGATACTAAACATTTGATGAAAAGCTAAAAAAATAATGTTTATGACAACTCAATGCACAAAATATTCTGTATTCATGTATGATCAAGGAAGACGTTGCATCTTAAGGATACAAAATTTTAAATTTTGAATTCGACCATGCATGAGCAGGTGAAAGCAGCTAGGACTCATAAATTGTGAAGTTGAATTAGGAAGAGGGGAACTAGTTTAAAGGCAGTTGACCAGGATTATTGTCCTGAGTTTCATTCAAAAAAATACTTTCCCCATGCGCACGGCACAGACAAATGGTACAACTTTTTCCTCAATCATCTCCTTCTCCTGCTAATATAATTTTATTATTTTCTTCCATATACTCTCTATATATTTACATAAATTGCAAGTAAAGATATGCATTATATAGTATATAGAATATACATACATACTTTATACTTATTAATAGTGTGAGCATATTACAGGTGGTAGTTGAGTGCTTCCAAATTCCAAAGCATGTGCTCTTTACCCACACTGACGTGCTCAGGCTAGTTTCCAGAATGGCCATGTCTTCTCACTATTTTTTGGCATTATTATTTGGGTGTCTATTTACTTCACGCTCCGCTTGGTACTGTTATTTTGATGATGAATATTGTTGTTATAGACAAGAATTATCCTATTATATACAGACAGGTAAAATATATTATTAAAAGATTGGTTTTAAGGAAAACTTGTTTCTTATAACAAAATGTACTTATAAGATCGGTGTTATATAAAGAGATATGATGACTGTATCTTACGTATGTATAATTTTGAATATCCATAATTGAATTTCTACACTCGTCGGTGTATCAATGGATTCTTTTATTACTCTCTCCGTTTCAAAAAGAATGTCCCTATTTCCTTTTTAGTTTGTTTAAAAAAGAATGATCCCTTTTTTTTGGCAATACTTTAACTTTAACTTTTCACGTGACATGTTAAGACCATAAGATTAAAGGGCATTTTAGTACATTTGATATATCTTTAATTTAGAACTACAAGATTAAAAAATCTTCTTTCTTTTCTTAAACTTTGTTCCAAGTCAACTAGGTCAACCTTTTTAAAAGGAAAGGGAAGGAATATTATTTCAAAAAAATATTGTACAATACTAGTTCCGAGTGGATTTCAATTTTCACACATGCATACACTAATATTTTTGTCCTTATCAAACACACTCATGGTCAAATCTCTCCGTCAAAATAATTCTCTATCCTTATATTAATCGCTATTCTGTCGAACGGTAAATTTGACTATAGGAATGTATTCAACAAAATATATACGATTAGCACAATTCTAACAGTACCACAAGTAAGGAAAATTCTCTACTACATATCATATAGCTAGGCTCCCTCTCTCATTTTCCCCTTTCTAACTATAGCATCATAGATTCATAGGGTCGAAATCACACGATGTCATGTTGTTGAAACTAACAATTATAAACCTTAAAGGCATAAACGATGACAAATCATAAAACAAATAAATATTTTAATAGGGTTTGACAAATTAGCTTATACTATATGAGAAAACTAATATAATAACTATCAAGAAAATAATATTTCACACATAAGAGGGTCAACATTATATTATATAATTAACTTTGAACTTCAGATCTTGAATTTGTTTTTTATTAGAATTTAGAATGACCCCGAGTTAGGAAGGAGGAGGTTCAGTGCGGATCAAGTATTGTACTTGGACGATGTTTTATTAATACTTACATGAGTTGGTTTGTTTGGTGGAGACTAAGCCCATCGAGTGATCGAAAAGACAAGTAACAAGGGACGTTCGACATATAGGGAGACCAACAGTAGGCAGTGTATGAAAAAGTGTTTAATAACTCCAGAAGTTGTAGTAACTTCTAAGCACCATGCCTTACAAGTTTAGGGGTAAAAACATACTTAAAATATAGCAAAAAGAGAAATAAACTATCTGACCAAAAACTATTTCACAACTTTGACCGTTGCGGTATGAAGTTTAAAAGTCAAATGCTACTCTTAGGTGCATTTGGTATAGAGATAAATATTTTTAATCTTTTCTTATATTTGTTGATTTCAATATATCTTGTTAAGGAAGCCACGTTTCTTAAAAATAATGAGATGACTTTGCTAGTAAAAATTGAGAAAATAAGTTCTATAACTTACATTTTAAGCTCATTATTTTATCTTTACCCCTTGACCATCTCACATCCGACCTCCCACAAATTCTCAATCCCCACTACATATTCAATTTCATTGTCATAATATTTTGCTGGGGCACATATAAACATATTTGGAACGATATTTTTTTCTTATCTATCATAGTTCAGACAATAGAATTGAGTTATAATATTCTTATATGTTTTTGAATAATCATATCATCCTGAGTTAATTTTTAAAATTGAGTTAAGTTTAAAAATCATATCTTCATGCCCCTTATTGAATCTACTCAGAGTTATTCTAATTAATTATTGAGCCATGTACTCCCTTCATTCAATAATTGTTATTTACTATACTATTTTGAGATGTTCAATATTAATATTTGTTCATTTTATAAAATTAATAAATAATTTTATACTTAGTTCATAATTTTTTCTTATCATTAATTTTAGTTATTTCTCTATGAAATTTTTATATTGTATTTATTTTATTTAAAAGATAATATAATAAAATTACCATTATAATTTCTTAAAAGTGCCGAGTATTATTAGACAGAAAGTACTACCAAATAATTATACCAACAAAAACAAAATCAAACCATTTACTCTGGATTTCTTGGGTAAAACTAAAGAAACAATTTTTTTTTACGGTAATTGCATTCTACTTAAAAAAGAAAAAAATGACACCAGGTGGAGAGATTTTGGCTTTTAAATAGGTGGGTCTCCAGTACAGATCTGTGCTTTACACCATCAAGACAAGTAGGACCTTTTTGTGTCGGTTCTTAGAAGCCCCAAAAGGATTATAAAAAAAAAAGGTAAAAAATATACTTAGAAGAAAAAGTCGTTTACTTAAAAAAATAAGTACTTAACAAGGTCCAGAGAATTTGACTTCATTAAGCACTTCATTATCTCTCTTAATCTATAGAGTTGGTACTAATTTTTTATTTTTTATTTTAATATAAAGTTCAAACCAAGAGTCAAATTGAGCTGTCATTATTCTGCACCTCCACATAAGCCTAAGGTAAAAGGCAGTTAAGCCATCTGTGTCATCCTCTTAAACAATCCATTCAGAATTTGGTCTTTTTCTCTGTATTCACTTAAACTTTTCCACTAAAACAAATCACCGATAAATTGGTACATTGGTACAGCACCAATGACATACCATTCCAGCAATAACTAGGATTTTTCCTGAAGAAATTTCTCTGTAATAGTGACAGAAAGGAACACTTTTGAAAAATGAAAAGTTAGCACAAATGGACCCCCCCTTTTGACCCAAACAGTTCAGTCTGCACACGAGTTGAGTTTATTTTAGTCATAAAAATCCCAAGAACCAGACAAAGATTTTGATTCCCGCGCTTGGTTTAGTTTAAGAGTTAAACAGTTTGATAAACTCATTGTCTCCTTTCTGTTTTTGTCTAATACATGAATCTTAAGTAGATTATTATAATACTAAAATACAAAAAAATGCAGGATTAGTATGATGAAGCATGCTAAAACTGTATATAATGGTTGGTCATTATCCACAGTAAACCTACCTTTCTTTCATTATTTAGTGGGATTGAGCCCGCGGCTCGACGGTGGGGTGGTGCTCTATGTGTTGAAAATGAAAAAGAGTTTACTGTAGAGCAAAATAATAGTTAAATTTTCCATTTTGTCAGATAAGATAATTTAGAAGAGTAGAGGTGGAAACGGATTGTCTACTTTAAAAGAATAGAGGCAAATATATCTATAGATTTTTCCAGCAAATGAAGGTCACGAAGATGAAGAAGTTATACTAGTTTAGGAACAAGTGATCAAGGAATTGAAGTCTTTACTTCTGGCTAATATAAGCAATGTAGCTTATGGACGGTTTTAGTATTTTTCCAACAACATATACAATGTAGTTTCGTGAAATTTTAAAATGTATATTAGTTTCGTGAAATTTTAAAAGAATATATGCTGACCTTATGCCTATCTCAAAGATAGAAAGACGGTTTCAATAGACCGTGCAATATTTGGTATTTTCTAATGTTACAAAAAGGACAAGATAAGATAATTTAGTAGAGAACCTGATACAGTTGTTGCCTCAATATCTAAGATACTTCAATTAGAATCACTGCTTATGTAATTTAAGATTCAGACTTTGACATGGTATAACCAACTACAGCTGAAGAATAAGATCTAAGATGAGATCTAAATATTGTAAAAACTAAATTGAATCTTAATTCTTTACATTAAGTTTGTTTGAAAGACAGTATTTAACTTAGATATTGGGAAGATTTTTGATGTAGCTGATGCAACCATTAGATTTTGTAGTTGTTGTAATCCATCTTGATGATTGATTTCATATTTCTAAATTATGCAAGCAAGAGATGACTTTAAATCCAATTTTCACCCAATTAAATTTGTGAATTAAGGAAATATTTATTGATTTTCCTAATAAAGCTCCTAAAGGTATGCAGGTACTCCCTCAGTTTTGTGTTTTAAGACCTTTCAAAGATTATCTAAACAGAGAGAGAAATAATTAGAGGAAGGATCGTGTAAGCTTCATCGTTATGTTAGGCTTTTTCTTTAACAATTTTTTAAATATGGCCGTTGACAAAAGAATGAGGGTATTCTCAACGCAAAATAATTCTGGCTATACTATTCTTATCTCCAACTACTAGTACAGCTTTTTTTGAGCAACCAACTTAAAAAAACAATAAAAAATATTATTCTAATTAGTTGTAATTCTAGCCTGCCTATTTAAGAACTACTCCTCGTGGATATGGAGTACATGACAGCAGTTTCTTCTCATTCTACAAGTCTTTTTCTCTCAACATCTCCTACCATTACTCTTCCACTTCTTCCTTTTGATAATAAAAACAATACATCTCTTTTTCCTTGAACAATTTCTCAGTCTCTTATCAAGCTATTGTATACCTGCCTGCAACATACATTTGCACTTATAGGGGCACCTAATTCATATTACTACTAAGATGATATCAGTTGGTATGTCCATTGGGGCTTTTCTGATTTTGATCATTATACATTGGGTTTACAACTGGAGGAATCCCAGATGCAATGGAAAACTCCCACCAGGTTCAATGGGCTGGCCGTTACTCGGCGAGACCATTCAGTTCTTTACCCCAAATACAACATTAGATATTGCTCCCTTTGTGAAGGAGAGGATGAAAAGGTGGTTAATGCAATCCACTCTTTTGGGTTTTAAATATTTTAGTAGTAATAATACAAATTGACATTTACTGGACTTCATTTTACCATCCTAGTAAATTACTTTTTGGCAATTTATTTCAGGTATGGGCCGATTTTCCGCACTAGCGTGGTGGGACGTCCTGTTATAGTATCTACAGACCCGGACCTAAATTACTTCATCTTTCAGCAAGAGGGACAGTCGTTTCAGAGCTGGTATCCAGATACATTCACTGAGATATTCGGAAGGCAAAATGTAGGTTCCTTGCATGGTTTCATGTACAAGTACTTGAAGAACATGGTACTAAACCTTTTTGGTTCTGAAAGTCTGAAAAAGATGCTGCCTGAGGTTGAAGAGGTGGCGAAAAATAAATTGAAGAGGTGGTCAGGTCAGACAAGTGTAGAGATGAAGGAAGCAACTGCCAATGTAAGTTAGCCAAAATTTCCCCTTCAGTAATAAAGGGGAGCCCGGCGCACAAAACTTCCACTATGCGCGAGATACAGGAAAGGACCAGACCATATTGGGTCATATGTATTCAGCCTAACCTTGCTTTTCTGCAAGAGGCTATTTCCGCAGCTCGAGTCTGTGACCTCCTGTCACATGGCAGGAACTTTATTAGTTGCACCAAGGCTCCCCTTCAAAATTTCCCTTCAGTACTATATCATAAAGTTCTCAATTTTAATCAGTTTATTTCCTGGTGTTTCTGCAGATGATATTTGATCTAACTGCCAAAAAGCTAATCAGCTATGATTCTGAGACCTCATCAGAAAATCTGCGGGAAAGTTTTGTAGCTTTTATACAGGGGTTGATTTCCTTTCCTATAGACATTCCCGGAACAGCCTACCACAAGTGCTTACAGGTACTAATACTAATATTTAAACTTAGCCATCTGGTACAAGAATGAGGTTCAGTTAAATGGTGTGCCCATATACTTGTTAAAGTGATGAACTGACTCTAGAGGTGATCATCAGGGAAGAAAGAAGGCAATGAAGATGCTAAAGACAATGCTAGAGGAAAGAAGAGCAAAGCCTAGGAAGGAAGGAACTGATTTCTTTGATTATGTCCTAGAAGAACTTCAAAAGAATGACATAATCCTCACAGAGGCAATAGCTTTGGATTTGATGTTTGTACTGCTCTTTGCCAGCTTCGAGACCACCTCTCTGGCTATAACTTTAGCCACTAAATTTCTTCACGATCATCCTTTGGCTTTAAAAGAATTAACAGTAAGTGTGGCTAATCTTCTCCTAACTTATCAACCTCATTATATGCCAGAGTTAACGGGTACATAATGCCTTTCAGGAGGAACATGAGGCAATAATTAGAAGCAGGGAAAATCCAGCTTCTGGACTTACATGGAAAGAATATAAATCAATGAAATTTACATTCCAGGTATTTCAATTAAAACTGATTTTCCATTTTTAGTATTCTTAGTAACCAGCACTAAGAACATTCTTCATTATACTGGATGTGTAGGTTATTAATGAAACAGTCAGACTGGCAAATATTGTTCCTGCTATTTTCCGGAAAACACTAACAGATATCAACTTCAAAGGTATATGATTAAAAATCTTTACCACCATCTTCTTGTGAATAAGGCTTCAGATTTACTCATAGAAACATACCTTAATATAATACTTATCTGATGCAGGGTATACCATTCCAGCTGGTTGGGCGGTTATGGTTTGTCCTCCAGCTGTACACTTAAACCCTGCCAAATATCAAGATCCCCTTGACTTTAATCCATGGAGATGGGAGGTGAGCCTTTCATAATTTATTCATTGTACTATTTTTGCACTACACTAAAGGTTAGAGAAAATAAAAGTGGTTGTGTGTTATCATAGAGTGATATTCTCAACTCCACTATGAAATATTCATGGAATACAGGGAGTAGAAATAAATGGAGCAACTCGAAATTTCATGGCTTTTGGTGGTGGTATGAGATTTTGCGTTGGTACAGATTTCACTAAAGTGCAGATGGCTGTCTTTCTCCACTCCCTCGTGACCAAATACAGGTAGGAACATAACTTGCATTAATATCTTTGAGAAAGGAAGAGAGGAAGCTAATCAGTTATAAATTATAACTGGTAATAACTGTCAGGTGGCAAACAATTGGAGGAGGAAACACAGTGCGGACTCCTGGTTTACAGTTTCCCAACGGTTACCACGTTAGGATCTCGGAAAAAGATGAGAAGATTTTATAGCCAACATATGGTAGATGGGATAGTCAGAAAAAGAGGCTGAAGGCAATACCAGGAATTCAAACTTACCCGGATATTCTCAAAGCAGCAGAAGATATTGCCGCTGAAAGAATGCTGGGACAAAGAAAGAAAAAACTCAGCAAATTAGTCTGGGGAAATTTTGCAAAAATTTACTGATATGACGCCTATATATATATATATATATATATATATATTCTTTTATTTTCTTTTTTTATGATTTAAATACAAAGTGTAGTTGTTGTTGAAGAAGGAAAAAACAAAAAAGTGTGTAAAGTCAATACATGGTACAGTTTTGAATGAAGAAGTCCTACTAGAATCAGAGAGTTCATTTTTTCCAGCTCCTCCATATTTCAGAACCCTGCTCTCCCTGCAAAATATCCCTGGAACATTTAGTTTGTAAGTTAGGAGAGGTCAAAAGCACATTATAAAGAAGAAAAAACAAATTTAACATCTTCTGTACATGAGATAGCTGCAAGGCTCTGACAATCACTGTCAACCAGCTTCAGTCATTCTTCCCACTTGCTTTGCCACTTATGATGTGGGTCATTTAAGATCGGATGTTTGTGCCTTAGATATTCCTCTTGATTTTTATCACCTCTCTTCTTGTTTATGATAGGTCCTCCCAAGGTTTCTCTCTCATTTATTCGTCTGTGATGTCTCATGTGGTCGTCCTCCCCCTTCTTTGAATGATGTGGCTTTGTGATACCTGAGCTCTTGGTTTTTCCATGTTTATGCTTATCCTTGTGCACATGATGAAGGTAGTAATGATAATCAGCTTCTCCCAAAAGATTCTCGCCTGGGTCATTCTGAAACCTTGTGTGCCTTCTATGATGCTTATGATGCCTTGGCTCATTCTTATGACTTCTTCTCTTATGATGATTTCCTAATGGGTCAGCATCGTAACTGTGCTTCCTACGACTCATATGTTTATCTTCAGTAATTGAAAAATGATCCTCCCACCAGTCATACAGAGGATCAAAAAGACCTTTCTGGTGAAGAAGCCAGAGTAGTACAATCACTGCAAGTCATAATAGTAACATACCATCAAATATTTGTCTTCTTTCAACTTCTAAAATGTAATCTACAAAACGTTATGTAAGCAAGAAACCTGTTGGAATAATTGCCAAGAACAGACAAAACATCACCACCCAACTGATGCAGATGTTCTGTATATGGCAGCTGAAGTCGAAGAATCCATAGCACTTCATTCTGTCCACAGAAAGATTCAGAGTTGCATAATCCAATTGAAAACAAATTAGACATAAACCACTTTCTCTCAGGAAATAGACAGGATTTGGTCTTACTTTCAACAAAATCTAACATCTACATTAGACATCAGCAAACTAAAATAAACTAACAAATTAATGTAAAATTCATGCAAGTATATCTCCTCAACATGAGATCATAATTATCAGCATTCTATTACATAAGAGAAATAATATCCTTAGGATGATAGAAAAATCTTGATGATATATTTCAAGCATTCGACGTGATGGAAACAGCCAATTTCCTAATCAGAGTAGGACCAATTTGCAAGAGAGAATTCAAAATCTAGAAAAAGAGATGCATCAATTTCTCAAATAGAACTTCAATTGGTACCTCTATGCTTGACACATTTCCTCGGGAATAAATCAAAAATTATATCACGTTTGATCCAGAAAGCCGAGGCAATATCTGAAGCACATGCCACAGCATAATGTAGAAAGAACTGATAACTGAATCCAAGTAGCTATTTCAGCTCAGTTTGAAAAAATAATAATATTGCAGTCTCCTATATTCAAATTTATACACTACCAACCAATCTTTATAGTTAATATATATGTAAAAGATTAATATTCATTAGTTAACAAATAATTGTTGACAAAAGCTAATCAGAAAATTATTTGTCAAAAGAAAACTATTTCGTAACACGAAAATTGAATTTATGTGATAGGAATGCTTAAATAACAACAACGAATCTAGTGTAATACCACAAGTAGGGTCTAGGAGAGGGTGGTGTGTAACTGGATCTTACCCCTACCTTGTGAGGTAGAGAGACTGTTTCTAAATAGATCCTCGGTTCAAGTAAAACATATCAGAGCAGGTTTGGAAAGGAAATACAGCAGTGAAGAAGCCATTTTGAAAAGGAAAAAAAAATCAACAATATCAACATAGGAATCCTTAAACATTATTCAAAAACCTTAAGTGATGTAATAAATCTTTAAATTCCCCATAATCATGATTAAGCAGAGAACAATGTAAGACGGCCAGAAATTCAACATTGAGGGTATATCAATTCAAAGATGTCTCAAACTCCTACCTATAGCACCCAAGTGTACATAACCTTACTGAAACTCAATTAGGAGAATGTAACTGGAGTGAAACTCAACTGAAAACACAGCAAATTGACATAAAAGTCTTCCAAGAATCTTATCTATATCTATATCTATATCTATATATATTCATTGGTGATCATTTGAGTACCTGCAGCTTTTCCCAGTTAGAAAATCTGCCAAATTCTTCCACGTCTTTTTCCATAAATCCTCAATGCTCCCAAAGAAACCATTGATGTTTGTCTTAGGAGGTTGAAACGGAATCTGCAATAATAAGATGACATGTGATCAGTGATACAAATAAGGGCGAGTGCAAGACATTACATATTTTACCTGACAGCCTTACCAACGATGTTTCTGAAGAATGTTTGAGAAAGTTAGATCCTAGAGAGATCGTCTTAGGATAATCTAATGGCAAAAGGGATGCGTAGGAGGATAAAAGGAAAGCATATTCTCAAAAGCTAGTTTCACTATAGATTAAATGGAATCCAACAAAGCTATTCTTACAGGGAGATAGACTGAAACTTCACCGGAGCCTGGAAGTAATACTGATGGGGTAGTAGCAGTTTTTGGAAGTGCAGTTATTTACTACAATCAGGCAAGAAGAGGAAAAAAAATAAGATCTATTCCTTTTCCTCTACCATTTTTGCAAACTCAAGTCCACTAAGTTTCAACGTATGACAAGCAGAAACCAAAACTGTTTCCAGGTTGACAACTATACGGATTAAAGAACAATGCAAAGATCATTACAACTGGAGAGGAGTATAACAGGGTGCTAAAAAAATGCTTCAATCTCTATTAAGAAGCTTGAGCTTCGAAACAATGGCAGTCACAAGCAACAAGAACTAGAGCTAAAACAATGAAGATGATCTTGTAGAATGCAAAAGCTTAACTTGATCTTGTGCATTAGTAGAGTATTTATAGATTACATAGAAGCATCTAGATGATTTAAAATTGTAACTAACTATGCACATTTAAAACATGTGATAACTAACTCTCTAACTAACTTTTATAACTAACTTTCATAACTAACTAATTGTATAATGCAAAGTAATATTCAATACCCCCCCTCAAGTTGGAGGTGAAGACAACACTGCCAACTTGTCAAGAATGGAAGAATGTTTGATCCCTGTTAAAGCCTTTGTCAATATGTCAGCCAACTGATCTTGTGTGGAAATGTGATGTAATGAGATAAGTCCTTGTTGTAGAACATGTCTCACAAAGTGACAATCTACCTCAATGTGCTTGGTTCTTTCGTGAAAAATAGGATTCTTGGCTATGTGTAAGGCAGATTGACTGTCACAAAATACTGAGATAGGCTTTGGATAAGGAACATCCAATTCAGTAAGTAATCGACTAAGCCAAACTAATTCACCAACTACTTTCCTGAGTGATCTGTATTCAGCCTCTGCTGATGATAAGGAGATGGTTTCTTGCTTCTTTGATTTCCAGCTAATTGGACTGCCACCAAGTAAAATAATGAATCCACTCACAGATCTTCTGGAATCTGTACATGAAGCCCAGTCTGAATCACAGTAGCCTTTTAGAGAAAAATCTGCATCTTTGGACATAAACAAACCCAATGTAGGATCAGTTTTCAAATATCTTAGAAGATGAAAAGCAGCTTGTAAGTGTGGCTCTCTAGGATCCTGCATGAACTGGCTTAATTGTTGTACACTAAAAGCAATATCCAACCTTGTGTTTGTAAGAAAGTTAAGTCTTCCAACTAACTTTCTGTAGTAAGTACTGTCATTTAGAACTGAGCCCTCCTTAGCTCTTAGCTTTGTGTTTGGATCAAGAGGGGAAGACAAGGAAGTCATATTTAGACAATCATACTCCTTCAACAAGTCAAGTACAAATTTTCTCTGTGAGATAATGATTCCCTGAGTTGTGTGAAGCACCTCCATCCCCAAGAAATAATGAAGTAATCCCAAATCCTTGATTTTGAACTTGTTGTGTAGATAAACTTTCAGGTCTGCTATCTCATCAACATCAGTTCCTGTAAGGACTATGTCATCAACATACACAGCCACATAAACTGCTGAGCTTAATGTCTTCTTGTAAAATAGAGAATAATCATACATGGAGTGAGCATATCCCCTAGAACATAAAGCCTCAGTGAGTTTACCATACCATTGTCTGCTGGCCTGCTTGAGTCCATAAAGGGACTTGTTTAATTTGCATACCAAATTATGAGATTGGACAGCAAGTCCAGGTGGTACTTCCATGTACACTTCCTCATGTAAATCACCATGAAGGAAGGCATTATTTATATCCAATTGATACATATTCCAACCTTGTTTTACTGCTGTGATCAACAATGCCCTGACTGTGGTCATCTTCACTACAGGGGAGAAGGTTTCAGTATAATCAATCCCTGCTTGCTGTGTGTAACCTTTTACCACAAGTCTTGCCTTGAGTCTTTCTATTGTACCATTTGCCTTGTGTTTTACCTTATATACCCACCTGCAGCCTATAGCTTTCTTTCCAAAAGGAAGTGGAACTAAATCCCAAGTGTGGTTTAAGTGTAGTGCATCAAACTCTTGTGTCATGGCAGCCTGCCATGCAGGATCAATGACAGCTTCTTCATATGAAGTTGGTTCCCTGTCAATGCAAACATTTCTAACAATATTTTGACTAGTAGGAATTAGAGCGCTATGAGCCAGGTGGTGGTGATTAGAGAAAGGGACCTGAAGAGAAGGGGTGGTGTTTGTAGTTTGAGAAACAGGTGGCTTAAGTAGAGGTATAGAATGAACATAGTCATTCATATGTTTTGGAAGTTTATGGCACCTTATGGATCTTCTAGGTTGGTTAATAAGTAATGGTGCAGGAGATATAGAAGGGGAAGGCACAACAAGATTAGGTGACAAGTCACAGGTAGCATTAGAACCATTTGAGCAATTTAGAGTGTCTTGTGTGCCATCCTTATTAAGATCATCTAAAACATCAATGAAATGAGGCGATTGCAAAAATGAAAGAGGTGAACCAGTTGTATTTGAAAAGGAATCATTAAAAGGAAAAACATTTTCATGAAAAATAACATCTCTGCACACATGTATCTTGCCTGTGGACATACTTAGAACTTTGTATCCTTTTGTCTCATGAGGATATCCAATGAATATGTGAGGAGTAGTTCTTGGTTCGAATTTAGCTCTATGAGGTATAGGGACAGTAGGGTAACAAAGGCATCCAAAACTTCTCATGTGTGAATAAAGAGGTTTTCTGAAATACAGAACTTCATATGGACATTTTTGGTTCAAAACAGTGGATGGGAGCCTATTTATTATATAGGTTGCACAAAGGATGCATTCTCCCCAGTATTTGACAGGTAGTTTGGATTGAAATAGTAAGGCTCTAGCAATCTCAAGAAGGTGTTTGTGTTTTCTTTCTACCACACCATTTTGTTGAGGTGTATAAGGACAAGTTTTCTGGTGAACTATACCTTTTGTTTTGAAAAAATTTGTAGATTCTGTATTGACAAACTCCAAACCATTATCTGTTCTGATTTTCTTAACAGTAACTTCAAATTGGTTTTCTATCATGGTAATAAAACTCCTGAGATTTTGTAATGCATTACTCTTAGTACTTAATAATTGAGTCCAAGTGGCTCTACTAAAATCATCTACAATGGTCATGAAGTACTTAAAATGGTTATATGTTGGTGTACTATAAGGCCCCCACAGATCAACATGAAGTAGCTCAAAAATGTGTGATGTGAGGGTGGTTCTTGGTTTAAAAGGGAGTCTTTCTTGTCTTGCCATAGGACAAATAGAACACATAAAAGGTTCCTTGGCTGAGAATTTTACAAGAATAGAGGAAATATTTCTCATTTTGACAAAAGGTACATGTCCCAATCTGTTATGCCACACAATATCTACATGATTTTTAGCACATGGCTGAGTGTTGGAAATACAAGACTTTGGACAGGAGACATAATTTGATGCATCAGATGTTGAACATGAATATTTCTTATTGAGAATAGGAAGAGTACATTGCTTATCATCTAGAGAATGAACATACTGTCCTTTATTATAGGCATTACAAGAATTACAAGGAATCATATTGCATTTTGAAACATTATAAGAACTCTTCAAACAACTTGGACACAGGAAATAGAGACCCTCTTCTGCACTACCAATTACCAGAGGCCTCTTCATTGAAGGGGCCTGCATGAAGCAAAAATTCTTGGTGAAACTTATAGTGTATTCTGTGTGTGCAGTCAAATTATGAATAGAAATCAAGTTATATTTAAAAGATGGCACATACAAAACTTTGTCTAAATTGATCATGGGTCCTAGTGCTACACTACCAACTTGTGTCACCTTAACTTTGTATCCATTAGGTAAGGCAACTAACAAGGGATATGGTAAAAGAGTGATATTATGTAGTAGAGATATATTGAAGATCATGTGGCTTGAGGCTCCTGAGTCCATTATCCATAAGTCAGACTTGTTTTTGAAACATTTACATGACAGTTTTCCAAATTCAATAGAAGAAGTGCAAACTATGATACCTGCAAAGTCAGTTGATGATCCACTAGCAAGGTCTGAATTCGTATTAGATCCACCTTCATTCTCATTTTTCTTGTGGAACTGCTGAAGTATGTCTTGAACATGACCATATTGGTCTTTGGTAAGGCTCACATTATACATTTCTTCATTTGTTCTCCTCCCAGGGGCAAAGTCTGGTGTGCAACTTGCATTTGCTACAACATTATTCCCAGATTCCCTGTTGTTCCTTTGATTTCCCTTGCAAGAATTATTAGGCCTTGGAATCGAATTGTTTCTCTGATTTGTATTTGAATTAGCTGGATATCCATGAAGTTGATAGCACCTCTCAGCAAGGTGACCAGTCCTGTTGCAGTGAGTGCAAAATCTATCCTTGTATTGAAGCTGAGAATGACCATGTGTGTTATTAGGAGCATAATTTGTTCTGTAGGATGAAGGAGGTCTGACACTTCCAGCTGATGAATGAGGTCTGATGTTCCCAGCTGATGAAGAAGGCCTAGCATTTCCAGCATATAAAGCAGTAGATTCTGCATTAGAAAAGCCAGAAGGTTTAATTTCCCTTTGGTGTTCATCTTGAACTAGTAGAGAAAAAGTCTGAGCCATATTAGGCAGTGGATTCATCATAAGTATACTTCCACGTCCCATGAGAAATTGGATTAACCTCCTATCTTGTTCTGCTTTGTGAGTAAGTGCCTTTGCTCCACAAGTGCAGCTGCAAGTGCACTGAGCTTTGGCATTTAAAGTACTTATCTCCTCCCATAGCTTTTTCAGCTTGGTGTAGTAACCTGTAATGTCAAGAGATCCCTGCGACAAGTCATTAATTTCTCGTTGGATCTAGTATAACTTCGCACCATTTGTTTGCTCATACCTATCCTCCAATTCCTTCCACAATTCTGCAGAATCCTGAACATACTCAACACTATCAGCAATTTCCTTAGACAGTGAATTTAGAATCCAAGAAGTGACAATGTTATCGCATCTCTCCCATTGTCTGTATGATAGATCACTTGATCGAGGACGTGAGCAATCTCCATTGACAAAGCCCAACTTGTTCTTCACTGAAAGTGTTCTCAGAACACTACGTCTCCATGAGCAAAAACCTACTCCAGTAAATTGAACTGGTACCAGCATCGCTCCAGGGTTATCAGATGGATGTATATAGTAGGGATGATTGGGATCAATTGTACTACTAGTAGGACCTCCAGATTGGCCAGAACTTGCAGTGGTATCAGCCATGGATGAACAGATCCAAAAAATCCAGAAAACAGAGAAAAAGAAGAAGAAGAATCTGTAAGAGACAATTGCAGATCGAGCCACAATCAAAAACCAGAAACAAAGAAGAAGGACAAGAGGATTACAAGATGTAATCATATACAAAAATGTCTCAGATCGAGCAAAGCTCTGATACCATATTAAGAAGCTTGAGCTTCGAAACAATGGCAGTCACAAGCAACAAGAACTAGAGCTAAAACAATGAAGATGATCTTGTAGAATGCAAAAGCTTAACTTGATCTTGTGCATTAGTAGAGTATTTATAGATTACATAGAAGCATCTAGATGATTTAAAATTGTAACTAACTATGCACATTTAAAACATGTGATAACTAACTCTCTAACTAACTTTTATAACTAACTTTCATAACTAACTAATTGTATAATGCAAAGTAATATTCAATAATCTCAATATACATTTGAAATCTTATAGTCCTGTAGAAAAGAAGCACATATTGCCACTCTCTTTATACTAGCATCTGGCCTCTCAACAAACTAGTCATCCAAAGTGCTAAGATTTTAACACCATTGCTGACCCAACTCCAAACTTGTGCATATAACAACTTTGAAAACATAGTACATTCTCTCTTCAAGACTTCACTCAGACTGGCCCCCATTTTAGACTACTAACTTCAACTACCATAGGTCTAAATCTGTGAACTACGCAGGAAGAGAGTAGCTTTCGTGATCTATCTGCTCCACTTTGTTGAAAACATGATTAAATAAATATTAGTGTGCTCTCACTAATAGCTTAAGATTTTTGATGAGATGGTCACACATTTCAACATGGTTCAAGAGCAGGTTGAGGTCTTGGCTTTGAGTCTCACCACCACCCATTATTAAAAAAAAAAAAACTTCCACTTGGCCAATAAAAAAAACACAAGCCGCGTGTGAGGGATTTTGTAGGAAGACAAAATTAAATAAATAAAAGTGTACTCTCTCAAACAACTTAAGCTTTTAGATGAGATGATCACATTTCAACACACTCTCCCATCATGTAGCCCAGTATTCATTGTTATTTTTCCTTTTTTTTTTATATTGCTAGAAAACATTATGCACACAATGTGTACCAAAATTTCCCAACATAAACTACAGCTGACCTGTGACCCATTATCAAGAACAGTAGCTTTGGTTGTAAATTGACACTCTGCCCGATCAACTTCATTAAAATCTGAGTCCTTCAGTATGGCTGCAACAAAGAGTAAACATAGAAAATTTGGCATCTTCGGAATCATCAACTACATTTCATTTCATGCCCTCCATATTAATATATTACCTGAACAGACATACTTTGCAGCTTGATCACTTGCTGGGTACAACTTGAATGCCCGAGTCATGACTTCATTTGGCTTCATTATATAAAACTGTTCCTGCAGCACCATAACGTTTACTTAAGTTATTTCTTCTTCTGAACGTATCATGACTTTGTATCATATATCAGAGGTTGAGTAATGATGACCTCCATTTGGCTGACACCGGCTGAGCAATCGAACTGCATGATAGGAAGGTCAATTACAAGAGTTTCACATATTATTTAAACGGATCAATGAAATATATTTATGCCTCTACAAAAACTGCAAATTGACTGACTAAAATTAGAGTTAATCGACAGCCTTACGATACTTTTTTCAAGCTTATGTATTTCAGACATCTATGTTGTTTTCTAGAATTACCAAAAGTTGATGTATCAAAGCAAAGATAAATCAAGATAATGCTACATTGATGTAGCATGACTTATTTTTGGACTCCTTTACATTTTTTCTTCCTTTTTACTTTTGTGGATTGCAGAGGTGAGGGTGATCTATGGAGCAGATCAGAGAGGACAGGGCCCATCCAGAGCCAAAGCATGCTGTAGGCCTCAAAGTTGAACTGAGGGAGGACTCGTCCAGGGGCCAAAGCATCCTACAGGCCTCAAAGTACTTTAGACGTACAGGTTATCCACCATAGGGGATGACAAAGACCTTTCAAGATCCAATCCTTACTAACTGAGCCAACTCATTTTGGTTGGTAGCTTAATTCTGGGATGTGAAAATGGAAGTTTATCCTTTTAGAAAGCATAGCAGAACATTAAACTGATTAGGTGATAACATACATATTTTAACTGTCTAGGCATAATGTAGTTGTTTACCGTGAGGCTATAGGATGCTTCCACTTCACCTATATTTTTTGTTGTAATTGTTGCTGTTCCAAATTGAGTCAGAGCTTCAAAAGTTGGAATTGTAATGCTGAGAATTTTCCCAGGGCTCCTGCATAAAAGGACCAAATCAATCTTACAAAATGTTCAGTCAATGCTCATAGTCAGTCCAAATTAATCTATACAGATGAAGAAGTTTTTGTTTTGATGTTTTAACGTTTCAGTGTTTTGATATTTTAACTCCATTCACATATTACCCTCATACTTCTAAAAATGTTCTTAATCCTAGAAGGGACCACTTTTCTCTTTATTTTCCTATTAGTTGATAATGTTTGCTGGTCATTAAAAGTTTGATGCACTATGCTTTTTAAATTATTATAATATAATTTGGAAAGTAGTTGGCATTCTTAATAAAGGAACATTGTTTTATTTAAGCAACATAAATATAGGAGCAAAGTTAGAGAGACAAATAGTCATATACTAAAAAATACAACAAAGCTGAATAATCTCCATAACATGATTTTAAAAATTCTAGAGTTTCCGAATAATAATAAATGCAGAGACAAAAATTTGAAATTAAAAAACAACGTAACTTACTCAAGAGAAATTTATCCTTCTCCTGAAAATTAAGTCAGAACTCTAAAGCATCAATTATGTTCTCAAATGGTTGATTATCAAATCCTTCCTATATTTATTTGACAGGAAAGTATCAAAAGTTAATTGTTTAGATTACTTTTTGTGGACTATATAATATTCAAACCAGTTTAAATGTTGATGAAGAAGCATTAAGGAATTGGTCTTGAATCAACTTAGGACAGTAAAGGGCATTAATATGTTGATCTTTGTTATTTCAAACTCAATCTGGAGGAGATATAAATCAGCCATCAAATTTGTTCACATTCTTCAGATAAAGGGGAACATAGACGAAAACTATGCCAAGAAGAATAACAAGGACAATGCACTAACACCAAATAAGGTGACTGACCTTTGATACACATATTCTATATCATCTGCATTCAGTTCTATCAACAGATTTGTGTTCAGGACTTCTGTAATTCCAATAGAGAATGCATGACTTCCTGCATTCTGCAGATACTTGTATATTACAACCACAAGCAAAAGACATCTGTGCAGACACAAAATATAAACCTGAAACGTAACTGGGTGCTGGTTAATTCTTTCAAACCTTCCTTGCACGCAATATAGCGGCACCTGATTTCGACTGATTCTATTCTGGTCAGCCTGCAAGATAAATTAGTCAAGGTCAAGGCCGAAACATTATAAAATTGCTTCTAAGGTCTATTTGAACTTCAGCGCAGCCAAACCACAGGTTCCCCCATGTTATGTATATCCATGTTTTTAGTAAAAAAATATTGAAGAAACAGCCACATAAACACTTGACACGCTTTACCTTTAGTTGCTGATTCTCAATTAGTATTTTTAATTAAAAAAGATAATTTATACGAGCCAATGGAATTGTAGAAATGTTGGACAAAATGTCTTCAAACACTAGGAACAAAAGAAAAACAGAAGACATGGGTAGTACAAGCCCCCAAAGATATATGAGCATATGACAAGCCAATACAGAAATCTGAAAACAAGATGTCTCTTCATACAGTTTAGACAGATTTATGAGAAACAGAAAAGACCATCATTCTAGAAAAAATGTTGTAGCAGTAAGAAAATATGGAACAGAAATTACTTAAAAGGAAACAAAGATGAACCAAGTGTTGTGAATTACGAGACATGAAAGATCTTATAACAGAAAAAGAGCATAGTTTAAGTATTAGGTGTTTAATATTTACTGACATCCCAAAAATTCCATAGTTGGTTGTGCAGGCAACTCCAAAATGGTGCAGAGCAAAAATCTGGCTGTGCATTGAAAGCATCGTAACCTACACCAATTTTGTTACATTCAACACCGTCTAATGTAAACCTCACTCTCTCGAGTAGCATCCACATGGAAAAATTGCTCCCCAGATTTTGTGGTTGACCTGGGCCACCCTTCAGCAAAAGGGATACAAAACATCTTAGTATCACAAATGACAAGACTACCGAAGAATGACAAACAAAAGTTCCATCAGAAATCAAAAACTGATTCCAGCGAGTACATGGAAATGCTTGCATAATCAAAGAAAGACACATGGACAAAAGTCCCACATAAGCAATTGCATCTATGATAAAACAATAAGCATTATTCTTTTCTGTTCTTTTTAATTTTAATATGCAGTTTGCATTATTCCTTTGTCCTCAAGAATTAAATTTGCACTATGCATCAAATTAAGGAGTGGTTTCCAGCATAGCATATCATCAGTGATTAATATCAGGTAATATAGCTACCAGAATAAAGGGAGAATTAAGAACGGAACTCCACAGTCTAGCCGATAACTCTAGAATTAAATTTGGTTCACCATCGTTAGCTACTTCTTTGCTGTAAAACTATTCAAAAAGGTGCATATCAATTTTGTATCTACATGAGATCTATATAAAATCTCAAAGCTGTTGAAGAGTTCCGGTGTAAAATGAGTGACAAGAGCTACCTGTCTAGGTATGACAAGGTAGAGGTCATCAAACGACGGAATATCAGTGTATCCAACATAATCTCCGATCAGATTCACCCGCAGAAACTTATCACTGGATGTAGCAGTTCTATTGTCCGGACCAACAGTCACTTCCTGCCACCAAATATTAGCGCAATGAAACTATGACACTTATACCCTTCATGCAAAAATGAATGGAATACCATCATTCCACAAAAAAATTAAGGCACTGTTGATTTTAATCTAGGTTCTGCAATATTCGTCCTTGCAATCATTATCACTCATCATGAACATCACCAAAAGTAGTTGGCTTGACAGCATATCTCATTTATATTATACTTTGTATTCATAATTTTGTAAGAAGCTGGAATAAAACAACTTTCCATCCCAAAAGCTATATAGTGTCACACAAATGAGACGTGGGGGAGTTATGAAATAGTAGATACTAACACAGAGAAGAAATGGTGAAAGGTGAACTTAAGAAAAATTCCATGTCTCTAGCTGATTTTTTGGAGCTAAAACCCAGAAACATAGATGAATAACTAAGCAGTTGTACATGCAGATGTGTAAAGGGGATAAACGCAGTGCTGAAGACTAGCAAAGGAACACTTTGCGAAGATGGTCTTTATCCAGCTCATGCTGCTGGCTTCCTTATCTAAAATAGTTATTATGCATAAATCAACAAATTAGGCCTCACTACAAAACAATGTTGGCGCGTTTACTAGTCAAATTCTGAAGACGCGATCCAGCATACAAGACACCACCACACATCAGACAAAATAGACAAAATAAAAAGGAAATGAGTGCTGTATGCTGAGAAATTATATCTGAATCAGGCACCAAATATGCACCAAGGAACACAAATACAATAAATACTGGAAAAAATTTCAAGAGAAAATACCGAATTCTGAGATTGTTTCTTAACGTCAATTCGAATGCTAAATCCAACTGAGCGCTGGCCAATGCCAAATACATGGAACCTAAATGTAGAGAGAACTGTTGCAGCATTAACTAAATATTATCCATCAATATATGATTGCATACAGATGGTAGCAATAAGATTGAATTGATGGTAGAGAATAAAAAGGTATAGGAACTGAAATATTAGAAAAGTCATGTCAAAACAGCATCTTGTGGAAACAACTTTTATCCAGAAAACATAACCTTCAAAAGTAATGTATCTCAAATCTAAAAAAAAATTCAATATAGATTTCATTGACACAAACAACAGAAAATTATAAAGGCCTTACCAGTCATCTGGAAACCGTAGACAGTGAGCCGTGTTTTTCTTCCCTTTCGTCATCTTGTCAACTAAATCAAGAAACTATATGATTTAGGAAGCAATTTATTGCAAACTCTCTAAACTGCAATGAAGAAAAATATTCTCTGAGAACTTAAGGGTAAACTTACAAAAGTTTCCACATGATGAAGGAACCCTTCGCTGATCCCCACACGGACAACAGGTAGGCTGAGAAGAAAAAATAGAAGAAGGATTATATCCAGTCCTCGGAGAAATCAGGAAAGGAAAATCTTCAATGTGAGAAAATACTATGAAGAGAAGACGACCTGCAGGTTATAAGTAAATAATGGTTTTCATTAACAAAACAAGTCTTCGTTTGCCTCTTCATAAGACTCACTAAATATAGTTTTAAATGGAAGGCTATAACTTACCTTTAAAAATTCAATTTGAAAGACAGCTCCTAGGTATCATGATTGGCAACAAATTTCCTTAGAGATATAGTTATAGCAGTCATTAAGAAAGCATATATCTCGCCTAGCCTAGATATCAGATAAGCTTGTCATCGATATGACAAGTTGAACTTGTCATCACCAAACTGTAACAATTATTATACATCCTACTAGGATGGAAAGCAATTAAGAATCTCAAACGTTACCTGAGTATTCTCAATAATGTGTCCATTCTCATCCCTCAGCCTATGGAAACAGATCAAAAAGCTACTCAGCTGACACAAAAAATACTTTCAAAAAAGTTGAGATATTGCAAATATATATATATATATATATATATAATATATATATATATATATATAAAGACAGGAAACAACGGGAATATTTAGTCTAAACTTAGTATCTTAGCACCACACAAAACCGGAGGCAAATTAAAACTCAGGCCAGTAATCATTTCAAGATTATTTTCCTGCATGATTGGTGGGAATTCAAAAAAAAAAAAGAGTACTGAGATACATAGATGACAGTATTCTCTTTCTCGATCTGTATGAGTCCTTCTGGAACCTAATAACATAAATATATAGTGTTACAGACATGACAGTGGTAAGTCTGATCATATTAAATGGAAAAGGTAAGTCCGATCATATTAAATGGAAAAGGTATGTATCTGGAACACCATAGGGCATCCTTTGCAGCTTCAATAATCTCCTTTTGCATTCAAATTTTTCCCATCAAATGAAGGTGTAATTTGGGAGGAGACAGGGTCCTCTAAGTCTGAAAAACATATCCTCGATACTTAAAGCTACTTAACTTATCATCCTATCTGTCTCTGGATCTTGATTATTGATTATGTTACTGATATGATGGGAAGTCTATAAGTATGAAAACTCCTGCGTTCTAAATCATGTGCTGTATTTTTATTTTTTTTGAATTATCTAAACATAGAACATAAAAGTAACAAGATTTATGTCAAACATCAATTCACAATCATCAAATGATGTTAATCATCCATCTGGTTTTGGGGAACTGTTTTTATTTTTTATTTTTAAATCAGGTGTACCAATTCCATTTTGTTTATACAAATATATCCAAAAGGGAATCTAAAAGGGTCAGTTGGATTGGAGATAAGTTTGCAGTTTATGCTACATAACACATATGCATAAGGGCTGATAAGAATAATGTTTTGAAGCAGTCATGGAGTAAGTTCTCACTCTCTCTTGAACAAGGAAAGGGCATCCTATCATTAGCTTCAACTGAACAAGCTTAACTCTAACAAAAAAAAGGTTATGGGCAGCTAAGAATAACGTTAGACAGTCATGGACTAAATCCTCGCTTTCTCCTTGAACAAGGGAAGGACAACATAGCATAAGCTTCAACTTAACAAGCTTAGACAAATACGTGGTTGGCCGAAGTTGCTGTTCGTATTATTTATGGAGCGACAAACTAGAACTAAATTTATGTATTGTTTAACACAGTGAAGTTCCAAGGAGCAGTATCCTCCTAGATACCCTAGTTATTTTTTTTTTTCTTTTGGCTGTCTCTTTCATATTGCCTCAAGACTTTTTAGGAAGCCAGAAAATGAAACCAAATCAGACCAAGTCAAAGTTTATATTATATGAAACTCAATAGCAGAACAACCCTGATACTAGTGACTTAACCAAATTCAGCTATCATAACTACAGAAACAAAGTCTGTATTAAAAAGCAAAATTCCCTAAAGTAAGTCCAATTTGGAGAACACTATTAAATGAATCACCTCTCACAGATCTGCACAACATCTGCCCCTGCATCCGGTTGACACTTGCGTGTATTGACATAGAATTCTTGCGGTTTATAAGCAATATCCTACACGACAAAAGTCAATTGAACAGAGAGAAAACAATACCATGGATTTAATTCAAGTAAGGACAGACATGATATATTTTCTATTGCTTTGCTTATAGACCTGTCTACTATCTGGTGGCCCAAACAAGTTGTTATACGAGACAAGAGTATAATCTTTAAGACAAAGTGTTATATGACAGTGACTCCAATGTCCATATACAAGCATTGTTCCACCATTCTAAGAAAATCAGACGAGCTGATTATTTTCCATTAGAGAAATGGAAATGTATGTGATAATACACATAGCAGTAGAGAAGCGTTTTCAGAAACAAGTGCAACCAGAAAACATGTGACATGCATTTGGAGGAATTACAGGGATCACATAGATGGAAAGATTGATCGGAAGTAGACATTGCTAAACAAAATCTACACAATGGATTGTAATACACATACTACAATCAGGTTAGCTTAAAGATGTAATCTAAGGGCCTCTGGCTTCAAGCATATAACTTAGTAAAGCTAAATAAATTATTCCAAAAACTCCAGCAAGTTCTCAGAAGAACTATATACTTATCAGATGCAATTCAGCAGCATTACTGAATGAAACAAACTTCCACTCACTTCTCCAAATAGCAAAACTTAAATATCCCATCGGTTCCAATTTATATGAAAATGTTTCGTTTTGGAATGTTGCAAATTATTTGCCAAAAAATCACTAACAACATAAAAACGTGATTGTTTTGCAGCTTTCACAAATTCAATTCACTTAAATACTCAAGCCTACTCGTTGATGCAACGTTTTCTCAATCAAGCTTAACATTACACCAATGACTTCAATATTTTGTTCCATAATCACCAAAAGTAAACTAAGATCAAACTAATATATTCCGATGGCGAATCAAACAAAGATTTTTTAAGACGTACTCGTATATATGTCAATTCATACAAAGCATATGCTGCTGATTTGTTAATGGTTATCACCGGCGGAACTCGAAGTGTTCGCATGTTACTGCTTGAGTTATCTTCCACTTCAACTATTTCTGCTATCAATGAAGCCTCATTTCCACTCTACGTCACCGGAAAAACAAGGAACTCAAGCATCAAACTCACATAAACATGCAATTCGTTCAGTACATCAATCGATTGATAAATCAGAAGTTTCTAGATGAAGTTAGAGAGATCGATTACCGAGTCACTGGGAACAGCCAAGTCGATGATGATCTTATTCGTGCAATTTAGGCTATTTGAATCGGAAATTTTCTCGCATTTTCGAAGCTTCGATTTGGAGAGGATTTGTATAGCGGAAGCGTATTGGAGAAGAATGAACAGAGCAAAGAAGAGGAGGAGAACGAGTGGTTTCATTGTGGAATTTAGAAAAATTTTAGTGTGTGAATTGTGTGACTTGGTAATTTCAGTGAATTATATAGGGTAGTGGGCACGATTTTGGCGCGCCAATAACTGCACCTAAACGGTTGGGTTTTGCAGTTAAGTCCTCTTAAGATTTCAGTAATTCAAAGGTACCGCGAAAAGTTCTCTTTTTTTTTTTTTTGTAATTCTAAATTAGTCTTCCTTAGAATTAGCTATTTTTAGTAGAAATTTACATAAATCCTATTAGTTTAGAATTCTAAAGTTACCACTCTAGTTTATAATATGACGTATTATACTTTCATATAGATTCAGATATATGTATCTCAAAATACATGGGGTCAGAATTAGATGTTATTTGTTTAAGACACATTGCATCCAAGTGCATCCGCATGAATTTGGGATACATAACAAATCTTACTCGCCTTCCTCGCTTCTTTCAATCTCACTGATATACATGTATCTAGTGTGATTCGCATGTATATTGAATACATAAGAAATATCCATCGTCTCCTTCCCTCATCTCGCTCTCCTATCTTCCTATCATGTATTCAACTGTATCTTTTTCAATATATGATAGAAAACTGTTAATATTTATAGTATAATACATAATATTTTAAAAATATAGATAATAATAATAATAATATAATAAGTGGAATATACTTAATTATGTAGTTTGTCCTTTTTAATCATTGTGACAAGTAAACCAAGCGAGTATATGACAAAAAAAAAGGCACTAGTTAAATAATTTCTTCAACATAAAAAAATCTTACCATTTAGTTGGACTATTTCGGTACCTATAGGCTATAATTACATGTAAAAGTTTTACATAAATTGGTAAGAGTTGATTACCTCATATTCTTATTCTTTTTTAAATTATAAAAATCTCTTAAACTTATAAAATCTTAAATACATCAAAAACTTACGAATGCATAGTTCATATAGAAAAGATATATCCAAGAGAAGATACAATCTATTAAAGCGGAGAAGGGTTTTGAAAAAATTACCTACTCTATAAGTGTGAAGAGACATTATTTTTATTATGATAAACAAGAATCAATATTATTGCTTATCAAAGAATTTTAAAAAAATAAAATGGAACGGAAGGAGGAAGCACAAGAAGGACGGAGCTGTGAATTGTAGGAGGAATGGAATGAACTTGGACAAAGCGGGGGCCCAAACAATGGTCCAACATTTATTTCAGGAACAAGAAAAAAAAATAGTTGGAAAAATTATTTGATTTAGGGATTTTGGTCCCCTCATTACACAAATGATACTTCTAAAATTTACTAAATATAGTGATACTATGAATTTTATATTGTTATAGTAGATACACAAGATACATACATGTATAATCTAAAATTCTTAGCAGTAAGCACTTCTCAATAGAGACGATATTTATTATTATTATTATTAATTTTTTTAATTATTTATAAAAGTTCTTTTTAGGGGATTTTTTTTTTTAACAAAATGAACACTAATAGAAAAAATAGAGTTCAAGAAGATATAATATTGACATATACATAAAATATATTTTTAAGTGTTTGCTCCTTCATACATACAACAAGAGAATGAATTTCTATTTTACTTATTTGCGCTTAACTTTTTTTATCTAATCACGTGACTTATCAAGGCAATTCGATGCACTAAAATTTTCGCTATGCACAAGATCAGGAAAAGGGTCCAACCACAAAAACCTATTGTACATAATTTTATCTTGCATTTCTGCCAGACAGTTTCTAAGGCTTGAACTCCATAGGCCATAACCATTTTATTGTGGGCTTGACTTGTCACATTTTGCCTGATATTGTACTTGTTTTTCTTTTCTTAGCAGTATACTTTAGCATATGATATATATTATAAAAAAAATAAATTAAAATGACAATTAAATTCGTGTGAAATTTGCCAATTATTTTTTAGTGAAATTATAATAACTTTTCATAATTTACGTTGAAAATATTAAATTCAATCGAATTCATAAATAAAATCTCCATCTGACTCATATTTGTCCAGTTCCAAAGAACAACTTTTATTTTGTTTTTCATGAATCATCACCTTTTTGCATATAAGTAAATCATGACGATGTTGAATTCCTCATGAATGGACTAAAAAATAATCACAAGTGCATGAAAATGAGGCATCCATGATGCAATAAGAAAAAGCATATAGTTAAGGTTGTTAGACTTATAACCCCAAAATGCTCCCATTTAGCTTAGTGTTTTTTCATTTTTGTGGTTGGTAGAGATACACATCCTTCATATTTGTTGTAAAATGATTTGCAAGAAATAAATTCTCCATTTTTAAAAAAAAATTCCCCTCTCATAGTCAACTATTCTTTTAATTGCTCAATCTTCTTTGAAGTCACAACATCGTGGATGACATAGAATATAATTGCAGAAACCGTACTAGTTTCCCCCAAGTGTAAAATAAATCGTACTATTTTTTTCGAAGTGTAGAACTCACGTTCTCAGTTATATTGATCAAACTTTTAAAAATATTAACAGGTGTATATGTTAAATTTTCCGAAATTAATGTATTTTAGGAAATTATATACGAATATACCATCGAAAATGAAGAGTTTGCACATTTAGACTTGCGGGACTTCCAATAGTTAATGAAACCACACAATATATTAATTTAGAAAAAAGAATTTAATTTGATTCAAAATTTATATTTATATTTAAAAATTCATTAAATGAATGTGATATATTAGTGTTGATCCCAATAACTTTAAGAAATTGATATCTTGAATCCCCAAAATTTAAATATGAACTATGTCTCTATTCCGCTCATTCTGTCTCCCAAATCTCGTGAAAAATATATTCTTTCATACCAAATCACCTTGATTCTTATTAGTTCGTTTCAAAAGAAATACTAAACCTTTTAAATTTTAAAATTAATAGAAATTAAACTTTTCATTTGATTTTTCTACTAACTTTTATCGCTTCACAAATATTGTAGTATATGTAAGATATTAACTTCCAAACTCTTATATCCATACAAATATATAACACATTAAATTCGTATTTTTTTAAAAGAAAAACTTTAATTTTAAATTTTCATATCAATAGTCAAATTAAGCACTTCATATGATGGAAGAGCTAAAATATATTATATTTTCGAATATTGTCGAAATATGTTAATACTACTTCCCTTTTAAGAAAGCTAGTGTTCATATTGGATCATACAAGGAAAAGAATTTTTCAGAGTATATGACGATTTTCCACATAAGGGTGGACCGATCGAAGTGTGAACATAACTGTTATAATTGTTTATTTTTATATTAATTCATAATAATAGATATGTAATTTGAATAAAATTGATAATTTATTACTTATTAAATACGAAAGAGAGAGAAAAAACTAACATAAAATATAAATTTCATACTGATATTGCTTTTCCTCGATCCAAAGGAATCGGGGGAACAAATATTAAACTCAACATTTTATTATTGATATAAAAAATAAATTATGTGATTATTCTTTAAGAAAATCAATAATAAGGAATTTGCAATTTTTATCCTTTGACTTTTGAGTTTACTTTAGGTAAATATTGTTTAGAAATAATAATCACGTTAGGCAAATCATGTACAACAACTTCAATAAAAAGCAGATGCAGATGATATTGAACCTAATATCTCCATTTGGAATATTTTCTTACTAATCAACTATCTAATTTCTTAATAATGTTATCGTATAAAATATTATAAAAATAATATTGAATATAATGTATTAGTAATGATAAAATTAATCATATTGAATTATTTAATTTGATATATTAAAAATCATTTCAATTTTTATTATATTCATCCATATATTAGAAACACAAAGATAGCTCTAAACTCTAGTGGTATTAGTTATCCATCTTAAAATATTGAATATGATATACAAAAATTTAAAAATTCTATTAATAAATTCAATAACATTATATAATTAAAATATACAAACATATATTTAATACATTCTACCAAATAATTTCGAAGAATAACATTTTTGGTCCTTATGATTTTAATACATCCTTAGGTGGACTTAGCTCTTTCATTTAGTGAAGGGGTCACATAATGTGATCTTAGAACCAATTTTTTTATTTTTGTTTTGTTTTATTTCAACAGTGATCTTGGAAGTAGTAAATAAATAATGCGACCAAATATAAATATACGATGTTCCAGCCGGAAAACAGAATACGATAGTCCAATTAATCATTTAATAAGTTTCTGTTTGATTATGGCTAGTTTTAATTATTATTATTTTTTTGGAGTTTTATTTCAAAAAATCATTTTGAATATAAAATATTCAGTATAATTTTTTAGGATTCAACTTGAAATTAAATATCAAAATTTTCCCAAAAAACAAGCAATATTAAATAGTAATTTTTTTGTGGTTCTCATTCGAATCACTTCAAATTTATGTTGTCCTACTATAACTCTATTTTTCAAATTCTGTTTTCAACTTTAAAATAAATATGTGATTTTTTGTTTTCATCTTTCACAATTCCTTAAAAAAAATATTGAATTTTTACTTTTTCTAAGTAAAATATTTAAGCAATGATGCAGTATCGTATATTCTTTTTAAAAAAAATAAAATAATAATAAGTTAATATTATTCACGCATCGCGCGGACCCACCCGCAACCACGAGTCTCAAATGATACCTCCTTGTCAAAAAAGTTACACGATATATATATATATATATATATACCTCTTAAAACAAGCTAAAGTTAATTTGGATTTAGTGGTTAAAGCGTTATGAAAATTTCTTAAAGTCGTGTGTTATAATTTTACTAGCCTATTATTATTTTTACAACAACATTAACACCCTTTAATAACAATTATAGAAGGAGAAAAATAAGTTATTATATGACTTTTCAAAAGTTACTTGTAAATTGTCTACTTGCTCTATTTAAGCTATTTGAAAACTTGATTGAAAAACCCATAAAAATGATGGACGACTTTTTAAGAAGTCACTTATAGGTTATCTGCTAAAGCTAATTGCAAATTATTTTCTTAAGCTACTTATAAATTTATTACTTGAGTGTCAACTTTTTTAAAAAATTAGAACTATTTAAACGTATCTTCGCAAATCAGTATACATTATAGAGCTGAAACTTATAAGTCCTTAAACTTTGTGATTTTTTCATGTGCTATCCTTTTCTAATTAACCTTTTTTAATAATTTACTTAATAATTATATATGTAACAACAGTTTTAAAGATACTTCATACATTTTGATAAAAAAAATGTGTAAGAACACTTATATGCCAAATTCATTGATAATTTTTTTTCAACTGCAACACTTATTTACTTTTAAAATATCTTTCAATATTTAAAAAAGATATTTTTTAGATCAATCCAAAGTATTTCGATTAAAAATAGTTGTCGACGTCATCTATTTAGAACGGGGCCGAAATCAGCCTCGATATTGTGACTAAACTTAACATTATGTCCAGCCCAAGCCCATTTTCAGGAGTGTAGTTCCTTTGAATTCACAAACGCCACGTGGCAAAAGTTTTAGTCTCATGAATCAATATAAATACTTCAATATTTAAAATTTTAAAGTAAAAAAAAACAGTACAACTAC